AAAGAAAAGAAAAGAAAAGAAAAGAAAAGAAAAGAAAAGAAAAGAAAAGAAAAGAAAAGAAAAGAAAAGAAAAGAAAAGAAAAGAAAAGAAAAGAAAAGAAAAGAAAAGAAAAGAAAAGAAAAGAAAAGAAAAGAAAAGAAAAGAAAAGAAAAGAAAAGAAAAGAAAAGAAAAGAAAAGAAAAGAAAAGAAAAGAAAAGAAAAGAAAAGAAAAGAAAAGAAAAGAAAAGAAAAGAAAAGAAAAGAAAAGAAAAGAAAAGAAAAGAAAAGAAAAGAAAAGAAAAGAAAAGAAAAGAAAAGAAAAGAAAAGAAAAGAAAAGAAAAGAAAAGAAAAGAAAAGAAAAGAAAAGAAAAGAAAAGAAAAGAAAAGAAAAGAAAAGAAAAGAAAAGAAAAGAAAAGAAAAGAAAAGAAAAGAAAAGAAAAGAAAAGAAAAGAAAAGAAAAGAAAAGAAAAGAAAAGAAAAGAAAAGAAAAGAAAAGAAAAGAAAAGAAAAGAAAAGAAAAGAAAAGAAAAGAAAAGAAAAGAAAAGAAAAGAAAAGAAAAGAAAAGAAAAGAAAAGAAAAGAAAAGAAAAGAAAAGAAAGAGAAAATTACATGTGCAGCACATTTTCATGTCGAAACACTCCCTGCAGTGGTTTTGTCTTCTATCAACAAATATGAAGTCAGCTAAATCCTGGATGCAGTGTGCCATCCTTCATTCCCTGAATCCAGTGCCCAAACCAGCACTGGTGGTGGAGCTGGGTGGGTGCAGGGGCACAGGGGACCCTATGGTGGAGCAGCAGCTGCTGCAGGCCTGTGGTGATTTCAACATCAAAAATCCCTGGGAGACTCATGCTGCTGCTTCATCTTCATCTCTGAAAACACCTTAATTTCTTATTTGGGGTGCTTTGGCACCCCAGCAAATCTGGTGTCTCCTTTTTATGAGAACAAATGCAATGGCAAAGGCCTCTGAGAAGAAGGAGGCGGCAAGGCAGCGATGGTTTTATTCAATTCATACTTCCAGGGCCTTTGCCCCACACATGGAGCGTGGGGACCTCCCGGCAGGGTCAAACACCTCCACAAGCCCTGGGGCTTGTTCGGGCTTGGGGAGACCCTACAACAACACAGGGGTCTGGCAGAAGTGCATCCCTCCCACAGCACCCACCTTCTAAGGGTGATGGGTGCTACCCAGAGATGCAAAACGTGATAAACCTTTTTATGCAGAGGAAATCAGCACCAAGGGCATCACACCAGCCCAGCAGAGCCATGATTTCATTTAATCTCATGCACTAACAAGATTTAAAATCAGGAAAGTGTGTGCCTGAACACCTCACCCCTAAGGGGCTTTTTTGAACAGCCAAGATGGAAATGAGACACCTCGAAAGTAAATGTGGCTGGCTGTCATCAGTGGCCAGGATTTGGGGGAGTAAGAGTTCCTTCCCCCCTTTGGGGGAGGAAGAGTCCCTTCCCATCCCAAACAGTTCCCATATTTTTTAGCTATCTCTGAGATGGGACAGCCCCAAGATGTAAACTTGGAGGCTGATTTTTGAACTGAAGGAGGGACCCCATCAGAGCTGGTGGAGGGATGCTATTTTCTCTGTGGTGGTGGGTGGGTGCATCAGCTGCTGCGGCTGTGCCCGGCAGCTCAGGAATGGGATGGCAGCAGGAAGGGAAAATGAGAAAGGCACGCCTGGGTCATGTGCGCCTCGGCATCTAGATCAGAGGGAGGATTCACTGATGGGAAGGCTAATTTTAGATATTTTAATTTTAGTTGCTTCCAGATGCCTCTTAGGTTGGCTTTCTTCAGGCTTTAATGAACCCCCTATTAAAAAAATACTTTTTCTGGAGGCATAAATAGACAGCGATTGCTCTTCATAAACATGGGAGGCTGCTGAATCCTGCCACTGCCCTCCTGCAGTGAAAAAACTACAGGGATTTCTAGGATGAACCTTTTGGTGAGGCTCAAGGTGACGCCAGAGACTTGGAGGGGTGGCTGCAGGGCTATGCAGCGGGCACTGCGGGTCACTGCAGCGGCACGTAGGGGTCTGGCCATCTCCAGGGGGGACGCCGGACCCTGAGAGGAGATGGAAGGAGAGTACGCCACAGTGAGCTAATGCCAACGTATTTGGAGAATTTGGAGTTTACATATGAGGTCCTGTGATGGGACAAGGACCATCATCCTGCCCAGCCCAGGGGCATTTCCCCATCGTATCTTATTGGTCCATGAACAGCTGTTGTGCTCAGCTTACAGAAAGTGGCCAGCACTGTTCCTTTATCAGCAGGTAGACTCTGCTCCCCTGTCTCAGGGCCATGCTCTGCAATCTGCATTAGTCTGAAAGCATCAATCTTTTCTCTAAATAAAAGGAGGTAAGATGCACTTGGACCCAGTATCCTCCTGAATTTCCTCATCCACCCACGCCTGATGTACCTGCAACATTTTGTACGTGCATCAACCCCCATGTGAAGGATTTTGCACGTATCACAGCCCTGGACGTCTATAGGAATAAAATAGGGTAAATCCTAAATTTAAATAACGCAAAGAAAGTGATGAGCCTGTAGAATATGAGACCATTTGGGGTTTGGGGGTTTTTCTATTTCTAGCTGGTTTAATTAATCTAAGCACATTGGGGCTTGCTGAGGTCTGAGCCAAAGTGTTGGGTTTGCCTATGGCTCATGGCACACTTGCTTTCTCTTAAATCAGCATTTTGTTTGCAGGAGGATGGCATCCATGCCTTTGTCGGCAGTGTCAAGATGGTTAATGGAGGTTTGAGGCTTTAGTTTTCCACTTCAGTCTTTCCCATGGCAATAATATTAATTGGAAATGCTGGTGTGCTTTTCCCCATAAATTTTTCTCAGGAGCAGCTTTCCAATATTCAGCCAGCTGTAATTATAAACACCAGGAGAAAGCTTTATTAAATATATAATTTTATTTAAATTTTTCAAGAGTGGAAGATGCTTCTAGCAGCATTCCGGGAGCTATTCAACCTAAAAAGAAGGAGGTTCATTTTAGTGCCAATATCCTCACCCCTTTCACCCCCTGCACTCTTGAGAAGCCGTTCCCTGCTGGCTTGTATAATTGCACGGGGTATTGATCTCAGGGCTCGCGTTTAATTCCCACTTCTATGCTTTCTAATGAGTGCCCACATGCTCAGCATGGGTTTGCTAACAAATTATTGGCCTTTCTGCTGCCCTTGGCCTTTGCTCACAGCCCGTATTCACCCACCTCTGCCAAATATTCCCCAGGAATATTTAAACTCTGCCTAAAACATGACTTCAGGTGAACACTTCGAGCTCCTCTTTAAATAGAAACAAATACCTAAATATATGTGAGTGGCTGGAGGAGTAGGGAATAGGAAAGAGCAACTGGGGCAGGTCTGGCAGCCCAGGGTCTGCTGGATGTGCCTGTCCCTGCCCTCCACTGGAGCTGCCGACACCAAGCCCCAGTAGGGAGCCCCATGGGGAGGGCAGTATGGGCTCACCCAGGAAAAAAAAAGAAGCATTGGGTTGGGTAGTTTATAGCATGAAGAGGTGCTTCCCCAAAGCACTGCGGGGGCTGCACCCTCTGCCCTCCCTGGGACCTTCCCCATTCTGGGGACTTCCTTCCTCCCCCTTTCCTGCCTTTCTAATCTCTGTTTTCCAGCTCCTCCGGGCTGCATTAACCCCAGTTTCATAATTTTGAGGCTTTTAATCTCATTGTGTGGGGACACTGCAAACTGTAATGTGGAGAGGCTGATGTTCCTGGAGAGGAACACCCCAGCTGTGGTCCACGAGGCGGCTTTCCAGCCGTGATGTGCACAGGAGCATCCTCCAGTGTGGATGATCATTGCAGAGGGGTGCACTGCACAAAATCCTTATTATAAAGCCTTTTTCCTGCGGCTATCAATCTTAAATGGGAAATACAAATGAGCAGGGGCTGAGCAAAGGTTTGATCCAATCTAAGCAGTGGAGCTCAGAGCAGCTGCTGCAGTAGGTCTCCTTGATCTTGCAAGAGAAAGCAAATAGTTATTGAAGTGCTAAACACACTAAGCTGGAAAGACTGTAGGTCAATCCTTCC